AAGCCCTCGTAATGTCGAATCAGATCCCAAAAAGTACAACATACTTGCCACTAATATGGTTATTTAGTCAAAAAGCATATTTGACGGGGATGAATTTGGGATGTCCACGCATTAAAGTGATTAGCGTGTCCAGACATTTTACTTCCCCAGCTTCCGCGCTATATAACGGTACCCTAGGATTTGTAAATAATCCCACCACCTTATAACACTTCATTTAACGTGTTGCTGATAAACATAATACTTTAAGTCAGATTGTAACACCATTACCTTCATATAATAACACAGGTACAAAGAAAACGTTGATGACATCGTACTCTCCTTAACTCTAGGCTGTATTACTCAAACTGTTGCTACTGTTTACCTTTATGTAGCTCATCTTTCCAGCGCATTATTTTAGAATCCCAGTTTCATCTTGCAATATTATAATATCCGTCTAACGGGGCTTGTTAAGAAGTTGACTGCCTACTATCTTCAAATTTTCTATATTAATGTTATTATTTACTTAGGTATATTAATGAAGCAATAGGATTTCCGGTGGATTTGGTGTCCTTACATAAAGTTTGATTCTGTTCCCTGCATAATTATGGAAGTGCCGAGGGAGCTTAAATACTATAATATTACATACTTCATAAGATTTTCTCTGTTAGATTGCCGATGTATTTGTCTTAAAACAACTAGACACTAGGCCTAATTCAGCTGCCTTCTTTTAATATATTATCTAAAAGGGGAAAAATGTTGAACAGGTGAATTTTTCCCATGAAACATGCAAGTGTAAATAGACGAGAGAGGATCCCAAAGTAAGAACAGTTTATTTTCTTTCTTTCCATTCACGTTACTCAGCAACCTCTTGACTCTGGTATTGAACAAATTCCCTTAACACCAGCCGAGGTCTTAAACCAAATGTAGTACTTTTGCGATGATACTGTCGATGTTCACTGTCAGGTATACTCAGTAACTACAATAAGGATATAAAGTATGTATTATCTAAAATATTAAGTCATACTTTTCTCAAGTAATATATTTGCTGTCTGTCCAGTAACACGGGTTTTGCAAATCATTAGTTTCGTAATGTGAATACAGTTCCTGCTATAGCAGTGTCACTTGCAACTAACGGCTTTTGCGCAGCATTGCTTTTTATGTCCGCTAGAAAGAGTTGGAAATGTCTATAGATATTGGATGTGCATTAAGTTTTCTAACGGCCCAATTTAAATATCCTGATTATTGTGCCCCTGATATATTTATCCGAGTTTGAAACCTATTTCTGCAAAGTAATTATTTAATCTGCATCTAAATTCCCATATAAATTAAAACTTTTGTTATGCCTTTAAACTATGAAGATTGTTCATGAAATACGCGGACATAAAATAACCTGCTGAGCAGCGCTTTTGACATGGCTCAAAAATAGCATCACTTATCACATGGAATAAAACTATTCTGAATAGAAGCAGTATGTTTAAAGAGTTTCTCTCTGAACGATTTATCGCAAAAACCTTAAATATGTTTAGCGCTTCTATTATTTGTATCAATGGTCCATTTATATAATAAGAGGTGACTATGGTTTAATTATTATAGTATTAAATCTTTCTGAGTTCAATAACTGTTTTTCTTACGCCATTAATCTCTACGTACAAAATTTTATGTTCATTCATAAATGCCAAGCTTATGTAAAATTTTAAAGACTTGTTTCAGCTAATTGCCATTTAATGCATAGTTTTGGCTAAGGATAGGCACTTGTAATGAAGGAGACCATTTTAAAATAGTTTAGCTTCAGGTGTTTTATGTAAAGATATTTGATATGGTATTCTGGTTAAGTTGGCTTGATAATTCTTACTAAATGTTAACATGCTTGTGCTGGCCTTTGAATTGTACCGTGTGTTAAAATTACTGCAAAGCTTTCGAGTTGGGTTATGTTTCGGTTTTGTGCTTGCGCAAATTCGTATAATACAAATTCATGCTACATTTTTAGATAGAGACATTTTAGGATATCGCTTCTGCAAGAAACCACCAGTGCCTTTCGATGAAGCAGTGCCTATCTAAGTAAAATATTTGGTCGTTTAGGTTGCGATACTAAGCGCTTGCAGTCTATTCCATTGGTATATTACAAGTAAATCGGGATCTGAATTTAAGTAGAAAGCTATCGAGGGCCGGTTCATGTGGCTAAGTGTCGATGCTATGCGTCGTTTATTGTATCAGCGCATTGCATTACACGAAGTTAGCTTCGAGGTTAACATAAGTTGCTTGTGGCGAACCAACCTGTTATATTTTATGTGCTGTGTTGCTTTTTCCCTTCAGCGACCTGCTCAGGAAATATGTCTGCACAAACCCAAGGAAGATGGCATCTCCTAAATTTTGCACAACTTGAGCTATACTGTAGCACGACAGTTACGTTTCATATATTAATGTAGTAATACAGCACATACTAAATATCTATAATGGCTCAAAGCTCATCGGTTAAATTCAGCATCTGCCTCAGCACTGATTCAGTATGACCATTTAGCACACGGGCTAGATTCAGCACATAGAAGCACATGCAGCTCTTTGGTGATTTATCGCTTGAGATCGGATAAGTAACCATGTGCATGTGCATAGCTTTTTCGTTTTTGGGAAGGAAATTCGGCGTTGTACGCTTAAATTTGGGTTCAGAGAGGTGGCCTCTAAAAAAATCTATACGGAATGCATGGGGCTAGCAGCAAAACACGATGACAAGATAGGTTACGTTGACCCAGAGCTTTTAGTTACCACCGAAGTTCAAATAGGCTTGCTTAACCTGCACATGCAAATTAGGTTAATTCATCCATCCCCAGACTCCGTATCCTACTCACTGTCAACCTCTGACTGGTAGGTTGATCATCTAAAATTAGTTCTACTACAAAACGTTTATTGCCTCGTCAACTGCCTAATCCCATGATTAGTACATGAGCCGATTACAGCCTCTCTTCCTTCAGACATTAAACTTAAATTGACGGTCGCGTTATAAACTACAAAACAAATGGTCCTTCCACATGCTTCTCTCACTTTGACGAAATTTTTCTCTAAGATGTTCAAGCGTATTGAAGCCAAGCATAGCGCAGCCAATTATTTTACATCACAGGCTTGCTAGCGCTAGTTTGGATCAATTATTCACTGGAGTTATTCATAGGGTATTATCATCATAGTAACTACCGACTATAGAAAACGTGAGCCGCAGATGCAATAGTTGCTTTTAATTGATTGGTGAAAAGTCAGCGCCTTACCTTAATTTATGTGATGAACCAATGGCTGGTATACTACCTTTTAACTTCTAATATTTGCGTGTATAAGGTATTGCAGCCCAATGATATCGTTACCTGTTTATATCATACCCATTTATCCGGTATCAAAACCCAAGTTCATTTGGCAACGAATTGTAAACATACACTTTTAACAGACGTGTTTGCGGAACAAACTGATAAACGCTTTGTATGCCAAACTAAAGGCAGTATGTTTCATGATATAAGTAAGGGATTTAAAGATATGCATCTAAATCAGAGCTGACATAACTTCGGTGCACATATTCTTTCAAAGAAACACATAATTTGGATAATAAGCACAATGCCATTATGCTCAATATTTCTCCCAATGTTTGAAAATACATGGAATACGTTAATCTGCAGTTTATTAATACCGTTGTTATTTTGATCTAATTACTAAGCATATTATCACAACTGATAACAACTTGCATTATCACTGAATTTTAAAAATTTATAAGACGTTTAATGACGAATCTCCGTCACGTACATAATAATTAATCTAAGAAATTTAATAAGCAGTAAAATTATTGCAAGTTTTTTATAAATACTTTAGAACAACTGCAAAATCAATAATGCGAACTAAGCCTTGTAACACCGAAACAGTTGTTGTGAATATAATATCATAAAAATAGCAGGCACAGTTCCCTTGACAAAGACAACTAGGTAACACTACTGTGAGTTTGCTGGAGACGTAGAGGAATTCTTCCATTGAATGTCAGATAAAAGAAAACATTATGCGCTTGACTAATAAGTTCATTATTCTGGATGAGTATGCCTTTTGCATTTAGTATAATTGCGTTTGGTATTCCGTACCGTTAAAATTTGAGTAAATATTACCGTTGCAAAAATCAATACCGTACACCGAAGTTAATCACTGGACGCAATTCGTGGGTTGTAAGAGGCTGCTTTTCTATTGAAGCATAAAAGGACAATCTCGAAAAATACAGATGCTAATCACCCAATCTATCAGTTCCCATACAATATGCACGAAGCGGTCATATCAAAATAATGCCAATTGTTATCCTTTGTGGGAGATTTTGCCAATGAAACGACAAAATCCGATGCCTAAATGATTTATTACGCAGCTAAACGGTTCTTATCAACCTTTCTAATCTATTAGTTTCATTGTCAACTACAGCAATGCAATTTGTCGGGGTTTAATTTCGTTTGTCTGTTAACCCAGTTGTGGAAAATGCTACATTGGTCGAATCGACAAAGGAAAGTGTATCTAACATATTACAGCCTTAAGTCAACCAGTCGTCAGTTCTTTAGACCTTCTGCTCACCTAAGCAACCTAGTTTACGCATAGGTGGATATCTACTGGAAACCCGTCAAGTGTTTGATTCTGCCACAATGAATAGAATCATGAAAGACATAATAATACCTGCTCCCTACTTGTAGGCAACACAGTCTAGGTCATCCGAATCAACTCCTCCTCTGCGCAAAAACACCTCATCGTAAGCCTTCAGCTACCGACTCGTAAGGGCATCAAATCCGTCCACTTCCCAAAATCTTTCGTTATCACCTTCCAGTTTACTTAATTACTTTCAGGATTTTTATTGGTATTGTAGATACAATGTGAAATACTTGCCGCTGCCGATCTTCTTATCATTATAACATTCTCCAACATGCTATGTACTGTTAACTGTTTCAACTTTTATTGTATAAATTGCAGTAACGTCTTACCCACGGGACAGTGCAGAAATAGTGCTTTGGAATTAACTAACTTACCGCAGTATGTGGTATTCCAACACGCTACTTCAATTACGACATCGAAGAAACCAATTATGTATGATAAAGCGTAAACTCCAGAAATTAATGTGTGAGCACGCATATGGATCATGAGTCAATAATTGACTGTAAACAGTGAGCAAAACTACGTTCTCTGGAGAGATTTACGAAATCGCTCCTTTCTTTTTAGCACCTGTGGTATTACGTTGCATCTCGTTTCATATTAAAACGTGAAAGTTTTGTACGCGTTGCAATTTCCATTAGTTGTGAGCGTGATTGGATAATGCCAACACAGCCACAACTTTGTGAAATGAAACCAGCTACAGTGCTGCAACCAATAGGCAATTAGTTGTTGCAACAAACAGCCAATAAAAACCTACAATTAGAACAGTTTGAGCTGCGTGTGGGTATTTTGCGTGAATAAACCAATAGTTAGGGTGGTTGCAAGACGCTCAGCCACACTGATGACCATGACAACTGAAGGGCACCGCTTCCGTCCATGGGCGGTAATTAAAATCCCGCATGTTTACATGCGGTTCATTTTTATGTTATTGGCACAAAACGACTATATTCGTGCTTCCGTTTAGGAAATGTATTTAAATGTGATGGGATTCATTACTATGAGCAAGTAAGAAATTCGACGTACCGTGCGAATTACTGTGTAGTTTAGTAATTCAGAGATTGCCTGATGCGACTTAGGGGTTATTTCAGTGAACACGACAGAGGCGGGAGATGATGCAACGTTAATAGACTGTATGCTTCCATTTAAGTAGCTGCTTATACTGGCCATCATCAATTCTCGGATAAATCCAAATATTGCGCAACATGATTTGATTTTACCGAAATGAATCTAGTGTAAAAACCATGAAAATAAACCCAGTGAAAACAATATTTACTGCTTAAAATAATTAGTAAAATAGAGGTGTACGAATATGAAAAACCAAACACACGACTATCGATTATGACCATTTATACAGACAAAAATATCCGTTCATATTTATTTTATAATGCAAAATTAGCGTTGACCTAACCGACAAGAAACACTAATGCGCTCATATATTTTCTCATTGGCGTGTGAACGAAAATATTTGATATAATTTGACAAGGTCTTTGTTGTGAACTAGTTGTTATTTCTCTGGCTGCTTATTATGGATTTTGGGTTAAATAAATTGTATGTATTGGTACAGCCATTTTGCAGTTTGCACAAAATACTAACTTAATAGGATAACATAGTTTTCCGTGAGAGGTTTGCATGTATGTGACATGTAAACGAATTTAGCCAGAGGGTATTTATCCAATATTCTATTATCATTTTTAATTCTTATCCACTGACAAATGTTGTCAAGAAATTACCAAAATAATTTAGCGGGTTTTCGGAGCTAAACGGACGAATGGATTACTTATAAGAGAGCAGTTTTTCGGATTTGCTCTTTTACTTAACGCAATTTTCTAGATTATATTTATGCGTAAAATTTGTTTCAACCAAATCATACCAACTTTTCTTCTCTATAGCAACACTGTAACCTATCAAAATGTAATGTCAACTTTTAGCTTTATTTCATAAGTTACGTTGTAGGAATGGTGGTCGAATAGTAAACAAGTGAGTGGATATCGCAGTAGCATTATAAAGCAAAACAATTATACACAATTATCGGGTAGCTTGGTGTGTCGTATGTCAACTTTTTGACATACATATGAATAAACATTCAAACCATTATTTCTCGCCACTAACAGATTTTTAGTAACGCACATTTTGTAAGCCGTGTAATATACACATACTACAACACCATGGATACGAAATGCTGCCGTCCTTTGAAAACTTACTATTTGCAAAAACCACACTGGTCTTCCACCATCCTATGGGTCTTGTAAAGCCAACGCTTTTTATCCCATCATACACTATTGAACTATTGAACTTTGCTACAGCAGCACGAATTACGCTGAAATCGGTCTTGTACTACAAACGTGACACTACTCCGAGCAACCTGGACCGTATCAGCCGACACCAAAGTTTGAGTCGACGTCGTCTAGCTGGACTTCACCAAGGCGTTCCATTGTTTGGACAACCGCATTCTCCTCCACAATCCTCGAAGCTACGGAATCGGTGTCCTTGTGCTCGGTTAGATCAGAAAATTCCTAATGCAACCTCAGCTGAATGTGTGAGTCCGCAGCTCCATTTCCGATTTAATTGACCTCCCGTGTAGCGTGCACCCAGGTTTGGAGATGGCCTCCTTTATTCCTAGTGTTCATTAACGATCTTGGCAGTGTATTGCAGTCGAATTTCTTAATATATACAGATGACGCTAACAAGGAGCATGAAATCAAATCAGCGGATGATCACATGGCTTTGCAGAGCGATCTCGACAGGGCTTATAGGTGATCATTCGATAATAGGCTCCCGTTCAGCGTGCCCTAGTACACATTCGTGAGCATACGCTATTAGCTTACCCATGAATATCGAATTAGGCACCAGCAGTTGCAACGTGCTTCCAATGAAAGCGACCTCGGAGTGAAAGTGCAGGACGTTCTTGTCTGCTGGAGACAGGCTACATGCATCAAAAAGAGCCAGCCAACATTTTGGACTCTGCTGGAGTGCATTCGGATATTTCAAGTCATCTAACTTTCCTTAATTGCTGAACGCCTAAGTGAGACCCCACTTGGAATTTGCGATCCAGACCCGTCATCCCTGGTGCAAGCGCGACATCACGGCAATTGATGCTCCATAACTTATAGGGACCAAACTCATTAGCAGGTTGTTTTGTTATTTTTACCAGCACAGAATGCAGTCCCTGAGATTGCTTAGTGTTAAATTTCGATGTCAGCGGAGATGGCTTATCATGGTTTACTTAATACGGACGAACCCGATCCACCCATTTCGCAGTCTACTGCAGCTGAGCCAAAACACCAAACTGAGATACAATCAACTCAAACTGACTACTCACTATAGTTGACTTGATTGTCGACGAAACCTTTTCCCTCTCTTTGTGTCCCCTACCTGGAACGCCCTTCCGATTTATGATGTCCTTGTTTCTACACTAGATTGCAAAAACCTTTTAATAACACCCTTTCAGACGCGTTAACTGAGGTATTCCGTTTCACTCGGAGAAGGAAATAAGGCAAACAAAACCATGTGTTTATCGGTCCTCTCCACAACGTGGCGGTATGTATGCATTCATGGCCATGTTAATAGAAGGGATGTATCCAAACTGGATTAACACAACACATCGACCAAATGAAGCAACACACAGATCAGCGCCGTCATTTCCTTGTTTTATTACTCAATCTATACTAGTTTGTGTGCGCACATCCCCTTCCCATTATTTCCGGCGGTTATGCAGCAGTGCATGTAAATCAGCAGACACTTATAATGACAGTTTACTTATGCGTTGAACCTCTTAATTTTAATTTTCAGCCAACCATCCCACGGGACACGTCAAATCCGCGATAAATAATTGTTCATTGTTTTTCATGCTTTTTAAGCCATTACCTTGCAACCCAATGACAGCAAGCAGCCCAGGAACATTTATCTTCTACTGTCCACTGCTTCAGCAAGTAAGTGGTTACTTATCAAAATCTGGGACTTAGTTTTTATGTCGAAAGCTCTCGAGATCTCACCATGTTGCGCACATTTCGCAGCATAGATGTTTGGTCCTCATGTTGCGTTAGAAAATTCAGTGCTGTAATCCTAACATCCATAGGGGTTTTGGAAATCTTATGGATTCCACGACGTACCATATGTTGATCGGTGAACTTCATTGGAAGTTGAAAAATTGACTGTTTTTCTCCTTACCAGTGCTCTCATGAGATGTGACAATGTTTGTTTACTAGAGATACTGAGTTTCTGCGGAATTCTGGATAGTATTATCATCATCAACCACATGTTTATTCTCATCAAAAGAAACGGTTTATTCACCAATTTTGAGTTCACCTAAAATTCTTTAGCTGCTCTCATATATGTCATTGCGATTAAAGGCTTCTTCCGAACAGGAAAGAATAACCGAGTTAGAACAATGAGGTCACTGTGAAGTCCTAGTGCTATACCGGTAGCATGAACAAAATCATTTATTTAAACGTACATATATTCAATAACAGGTACGATAATTAATTGTGATTAACTTGCTATGTAAACAACCATGCGTAAAATGTTTACTAATATTGAAACAGCGCATATTTAAAAAGCTGAGAGATCACAGTTACTTCATCGAGCGCGCAATTGTTAACTATAGTTTTATGAGAGACTAGACATATGCTGTCTGCACTGTAATATTTTATACGTAGAAAATAAAGTGAATTTCTCTGTCACCTGTCAATAATAATATGTTAACTAAGAGAGAGCATTCCGCACGTAGAACGGCATTTACATATACAGCAATAAAGAATGTCGTGGTTAAACTAAAATTTTCCGAATCAACAATAAATAGCCACCTTATTTATACTATGCTTGATTTGCATAAACTTTGGGAACATACTGGTGATTGCTCCTCATATTTTCTCAAAATATAAATGTCGACTAACACAACAAAATAGAAAATAGACTGCATAAACATTTTAAAGAAGAGCAAACATATACTATCAAATTACTACTTCTGCATATATTAATTCCATCTTAGAACTTTGCTTTATTCATTGCTGTGTGTTAATTTTCGTACTGTTGCATCAGATGCCAGAATAGTTATTCCACATTGTATGGCACTTAATCCTTTGTTATCCACTGTCCAATAGACAGTTGCGACTATCAGTCTTAAGGCTTGCTTTGGCCAAATGAAACCACCTGGTGTATAAGGACAGCAAGAAAGGAAACAATATGCTATTCGTACATGTATGAGGCTAGTTACCCACTTTTAACAGTGTTGCTGTAATTGCTCAAAACGTAATTTTCGTATTTGGGTTCGAATCATCTTTGCTTTGCCCGCCAAAGAATATGCTCGGCAAATTGAGGATGACGGGTTTATCAAGTAGTTAACCCGGCGGAATCTCTCCCATTAATAAATCCAACGGATTGACAGAAGCATTATAAAAGTATTCTCTGTAACATAATAGGGAGTTAACCTTTATTTATAAACTACTCGGTAGACCAGCATGATTGATAAAATACGTAACAGACCGGCAGTG